GGGTAGGGGGAAAGAATATCGTAAGTAGCGTGAAGTCAATGCAGTGAGAAGAAGAAGGATCTGAAACGCCTATTAAAATAAAGCAGGATGAAGAAGAAAACATTCTGCGACGTTAATCGAACTTCTGGGATGTGCCGCGCATTCTGCTCCCATGGATTGTAGTGGGTCTTGGATCCAATTTGGCCCACACAGTGCCTTGTCCGGGCCAGTCGATGTAAAAGTCAGCGCTTTATCATTCCAGACAAACCTGAACCCTGGAGCGATGGAAGATGTGGTTTTCCTGGGTACGTATCAAGTTTGTCAGGTCACCTCGGATATCCTCGCTCTTCTATTCTCTGTTGTTTGTTCTTCAAAGTATTACCTTTTTCTTAGCATGACTCGTCCCCATCTGGAGGGGGCTCAGGCCATCCGATTAGGTGAAGTCACCGGAGTGCTGCAGTGGTCAGAACAGGCTAACGCAGGCTTACTCTCAAGCCTTCTGGGACCGAAATCGAAAGATGATCCAGTCAGACCTGAACTTCCTAATTTGACTTGATCAAAGAATTCATGTGTAACCTGTCCGGGAAAGGCTGCTAACTAACTAGCCCAGGTCCATGCATAGTATAGTTCCCGCTCTGATTTGATCTTCTCGCCTTCTACATATCACCTTGGTTCCCTACTCCACTCAGTTTATAAAAACATCGTCATCCAGGGGGAGGCATAGAGCTCTATTAATAGTTTACTTATTTTTTATATTCATATGTCAGTGGCTTTTGTAGAACAATAGTGTAACAAAAAATTAAAGAAGCGAAACTCGAGTGATCACGATAACAGCGAAAGTACATTCACTCGCATTTAATACCGTGCCAAATTGTAAATAATAAAAAATAGCATATATAATCAGTCATCAAAGCATTGCTTGAAACTTCTCGCGGAAACGGAGAAAATCATTTGTACAATTTAATTGGAGTTTTCGAGTGTGAAGAGTGACTTTCTGCTCGATCCCTCAAGTTTTGGTAGAAATGGATACTGTTCGCATTCAATGCAGTCGTTATCCATATGGTCATTACCTCTTCCTCTTGAATGAACGATTCCTCCCAACTTTTCACCTTGAAAGAAATGATGGAGAGTTTTATTGGGTAGGGCACCAGTTTGGAGAGGTTGTTTTTTAATGGGAGATGATGTTTATCTGATTTGCAGGAGAAGTGTATGGAATTGGAAAAAACACAGACAACGCCCTTGGTCTCGGGACATGGACTGGAAACGATGACTCTGAACACTGGAAATATGTTTATCGAGCAGTCGTTGTTTTTATCTAGCTATTGTGACATTTCTTCTGTGACAGTACTCAAAAATTACGTTATTGGGTGTTGATTATTCTTCGAAGAGCAGAAGCAGGATTGAATAAATACATGGTGAAAGTAACACCACTGAAAGTGACTGAATAAATAACAAGTCTCTATTTAGGTACTCCACCTTGGAACGCATCCGATTCCCACGAGAAGCTGGAAAAGTTGCTGGGACGACTGCCAAATTGGGTTGTTCAGTAGCATGGACAGAGAAAGGTGATGCGTACGCGTGGGGATGTGACACAAGCGGTCAACTTGGCTTGGGTTTGAAGGACGATGATGAAAAGGTAAGCATGAAGTAAGGCGTTCTCTATTATGAATGAAAGCTATATCTACAGATCGTTCCAACGCCACAGAAAATTACGTCAGCGCATTTGGATGGATACAAAATTATTTGTGCCTCGATTTCTGACAATCACTGTCTGTTTTTGGCCAAAAAAGCGTGATTTCACTGATTTTTTTCTAGAGTTGGCACGTGCAATAGTTTAGTTTCTACGCTAAGCATTATCGCACGATTCTTTATATACTGTATGTAATTGTAAAACTTCCATTTATGCTGCCATGTTCGAATTGTGTTTGTACATTTTATGGTAATCTATCGTTAGATATTACCTCGTCGTATTAGTTAGTTACATCCCGGCGCATTGTTACTGTCGTATTAGTTAGTTACATCCCGGCGCATTGTTACTTTTCCTGTGAAAACTAATGCTAATCTTGTTGGAGAGTTACTCTCTGCGTGAATGTTGTCGCGACTAATGTCCCAAAGATCTTGCTCGCATCGGCGGATGGGACCTTGGCCACGCAGAATGTGGATATTATAAGGGTCCACACACCCTCCAGGGGGGATTGTCACGCCAGAATGCTTTGAGAGGCAGCCGAGTGCTGCAGCCTGCCCCGGGTCTTACTG